CACATACTGACTGGTTTAGTTTTTGATTAAGTTGAAATCTTGTCACTATATGGATAGCACACTGTACATTCACGGAAAGTTGTATTGTCAAAACAAAGGCTATCAGGTAGAACTTTTTCTAGTCATTTCTGATTGCAGTTTTGAAAAGAGTTTAAAACATCAAGTTCCCTGCTGATTTCAGAATAGTTTCAACTGATTGTGATTAATGCTTAAACAAATTCACGCACTTTTAATACTTAAAAAAAGTTTATGTCTTTGGTTTAAAGAAGACATATTGCGAAAGCTCCATCCTTTATAAATAAACTCACCCATAAAATCAGTATGATCAACCACCCCTTATTTTGTTCCTCATTTTGCCATTTTAATTTTATCACTTTGACTTTAAAACATGAAATCCCGGTGCGATGTACTCACATTGTTTCCCGGCAATCACTGAAACTAATTCGGGATCAACAGTTATGGGAAAGTTGGTCATGGAAGAACGTTTATCAGGAAATCCTGACATAAAAAACATGCCTGTCTTATTTTGTGTTATTGCTCAAGCAGTACCCTTTCAACTTTGTCATTTCGCTAGAGTTCACAGTGCGCTTTGATCATCAAGTTACATTCAGGCATTGCAGGATGAACGTGTCATGAATATAGAGGGCGCAAATACAAACAGACCGGATCGTGATGATGCACACAGTTTTATACCAGTTCAAACTGCTTTATTTAACAAGATGAATTTGTAGAAATCCTGTATAGAGTTGATGTTTGTACAAATTACTCAGGCTTTCTGTTCGCCTGAAGAGATTGAAGCAAAAGCTCTCGGATGAATTCACTCGTGTATTTGCATGTAGGGTTCCACTCAGCATGCCACTGAGATTCTGTTGGATATTTGGACAAACAGCGATATTAGTTTTTGGCTTATTTTTCGAAAGTTTTTGGTGATTGGTACAGATTTTCACAAATTTGAGAAATGTTGTGAGACACGTTTCAGTTGACAAACAGATGGTGGCTTATAGCCAAACCGGTGCTCTGATTTCCCATCCGGAAAATAAATCTTTATGTAATGACTGTAACTTGACTGCGGTAGTCCAGCTGTAATGTTTGCGCCACTACTTCCTTGGTATGAGATCGATTTCCCTCATTAATGCAGAAACTGTTTGCTCATTGTGATTCCTATAACCACAAGTTCAAGCAACTTTGAACCAGTTAGAGGAACAAAGGATCAATTGCTCACAATCTTAAGTATGATGCAGCACAACTAACTTTTGAACTTTTAGCTCAGTTGATGCTATACATTTGACCAAAACAGATAGATTAAAGCGATTATTTTTTTGGGTTCTTGTCACTGAATTTCGTTGCCTAGACAGTACTAGTAGTAACGATTGCACGAGGAACAGCGTGCGCGCGAAGGTTTATTAGTCAGACCCTATTTATATCTAACAGAACGTCTAGATTCCAGACTAGGTGCTACAACTCCCCAGTTCATTAGGAATTTTACTGAAAGGTATGCGACAAGGTATGTAATAAAATTCACGACATTGCAAACAAATTCGCATACGTTTGCGCACATATTCGCGAATTGTTTCACGACATCGCATACGTGTGCGCACATATTCGCGATTAATTTCACGACATCGCATACGTGTGCGCATATATTCGCGATAAATTTCGCGACATCGCATACGTGTGCGCACATTTTCGCGATAAATTTCGCGACATCGCATACGTGTGCGCACACATTCGCGATAAATTTCGCGACATCGCATACGTATGCGCACACGTTTGCGATATGCGATGTCCCTTCAGGGCCACCATAATAATGTGTTACAGCTCCATGCTTCCGCCACCAAGGCTGAGCGTTGTGAGTTCGCTGCCCGCCACGTATAATTCAGTGTCGTGTTATAATTTCGGGGGCCTGTTTGGGGTCAACGAACTTAGGATCGACGCATTCACAAAAAAATCGACAAAAAAGTGTCCGACCCGGTGGAAGACACCCACATTTTTTCCACGGACGTGGAGCCATTTTGGTGTCGCGGGAGACCGCGGTCTCGGATCCTTTCAGGAGCAAACATTTCTCGGAGGCCGAGTAAAACTTGCTCTTATATAGATGGTTGAACCAACTTCAATACAAGTTAAATCGACTTTTTCCACGCAGACGGTCTCGCAAATTGTAAGAAGTTCAAGTTTACGTTTGTTGAAGAGTCCAACACTGAAACTTAATTATGACCTACCTCCATGATTCAGACCGTTTGTAATTTTATGGCAACACTCAACATTTTCGTTTCAAATGACACCTTTACGTTTTATTGCATTATGATTTATTGTCAAAACTGTACAATCAGCCTTCGCCTGTGTACTACGGTAACCTTTTCACTGCGTTTTCCAAATGCGACTGCCTCACAAAATGCCAATTTAACAGACAAACGGGAACATTTACAGACAGTTGCCATGGTACATAATTATCATGTGCGTAAATCGACGGGGGACAGGGGGAACCCCCCCCCCCCTTTTTAAAGCGGGGGACATTGTTTGGTCCCCCCCCCCACTTTTTCTTCCCCGAATAAAAATTGTAGCCTTCAACAATGATTGTGTTACTCAGAATGCATGTAGCTGATTCAATTACTCCAAACTCAAAACTTTAAAAGATGATCTTTTGCTGAAATTGGTTTTAGTGGTCAGAAATTGCCTCAGATCTCACCACAGAAATTGCTTTTCTATAACTGCATGTCTCCTTAACTATATCCCCATTTACATTTAACTCCAAATTTTCATCCCCAACACTACGCCCTACCCGATCAATGATCGGGTAAACCAGCTTGTCAAGATATATTCAATCACTGCAGGAGAACGTGTCACTGAATATAGAGGGCGCACATATACAAACGGGCCGGATCGTGATGATGCACACAGTTGTATTCAAGTTCAAATTGCTTTATCTAGTTGGATTCATAGAAGTCATGTAGATGTATAGCGTTGATGTCTGTACAAATTATTCGTCCCTTCTGTTCTGCTGTCAGGACCGGATCCAGAACACCTTTTTTTTTGGGGGGGGAGTCCAAAAATAATTGTGTACCCCCAAAGTGGGTCCAAAAAATTACGGCGTGAGGTTCAGGGCCCGCTTAAGGGCCCCGAATGGTTTTTTTTTCTTCTTTTGTTTGATTCTAAATGCTCTGTGGTGCGATCTGAGGTAATTTCTGACCACTTTAACCAAATTTTTGAGTACACAAATAATGAAAAAAAAGTATGTGACATTATTCAGTTAACAAACAGATGGTGGCTGATGCTAATAGCCAAACCGGTGCGCTGATTTCCGATCCGGAAAATAATTATTATTTTTGTAACGACCGTACCTTGACTGCAGTGTCCACCTGTAATATTTCCGCTATACTTCCTTGGTATGAGATCGATTTTTCTTGATAATGCAGAAAATGTATGCTCATTGTGATTCCCACAATCTCAAAAGCAAGCAATTTTGAAAAGCATAGGATCATTTGCTTTTGATTCCTTTTTTTTCGTGAGAAGCAACAAAATGGCTTAAAAACTAAGAAGGTCGCAACTAACTTGTTAAAGTTTCAGCTCAGTGGATACTATCATTGAGAAAAGCAAAGAAAACGTATGCACTCTTTTGTAGGATCTCGTAACTTGATTCCGTTGCTTTATAACACCTTGAACTATTTTTTTTAAATTTTAAAAATACCTTCAAAGTTTTCAAAGGATATATCAGGCGAAATAATTTCACCGGGTATTTCACCAGCATTGCAAGGTTTCTGTCATCAAATCGCCATATATGTACTTTTCCGAGCAGTTGCAAATGATCCTACGTGGCCTTAAATTCTTTTTGCATACAGTTTTCTCAAACAAAATATGGGTATTTACTTTGGTAGTTACTGCGTTTGATTCGAAAATATTAAATCCTTTAAAGAAGACATGAATATTGTTGCTCGTGCGTGGGTCTGTTCAGGGCCGTTGCATGCAGGACGCGTTCCGCTTAAAAAGCATATATATAACAATCCAGATCACATTTCGCCCGACAGAGATTTTGATCTGGGGGTGTTTTATTGTGAAATTCAGCTATGCCTCCCCCAACAGCCCCCAAGATATCTCCCAGCGGATTCTCAATGACTCATTTTCGTTGGTATTATTTCCAGCTTGCAATCTGCTGAGTGCTGAGGATTCCCTTCGTGATAGAATTCAAGAACGTTACATCGAGTGTCTGTTATTTTCCTCACTCAATCATCAGAACAGAGCAGTGATTTTGGTGGAAGACTGTATTCCTCGTTAACTCATCAGGGTGCCTCGAACTTACAGCGGAAACGCGCTGAAATTTCCTTCACATTTTTTTATCGACGTATATCAGTTTGTAGAAAAAGGGAACTTGGATGAAAACAAACATTGATCACACCAATATTTAGTTGCTGTGTAATCAGATTCTTTGGAATTTGTCTTCATTTAATTTATTTTTAAATCGGAATGTCCTAATTCTTTCTTGAGTCACGTTGTAATTCGTTTTGTTTATCACCTTAATGATTCTATCAGGACCGGGGAAGGGGCAAGATGTGTGCCCCCTACCCCTAAAAATACTACAGCTGCGGAACGCTTCGCCCTATCGGAATGCAATTTAGTGACCCTTCCTAACTTTCTTGTTAGCCCCTTGACCCCTCATACGACACTGTTATATAACAATGATTCCTCCAATCTCATGTTTTTGGGTTTTTTTTCTGCAAATCTGACGGCGGATTGTCATTAATTTTAGACTAGTTCTCCTGTTTATCAAACCTCAATATTTTTCTCTACTCTTCCCGTTTTTAAAAACTATTTTATTGAAAAAAAAGTTCTCACCTGATTTGTTTCAGTTTCATGCTTTGTTTCTGTACAGAATGAAGATCTGCGCGGCAACCGTTCTTTCAATCGCCCTCCTTCTGGGTAACTCCGTCAACCTCCGAGCTTCCGTTACTGGGCCGGTTCCCTCGGACGGTGATGGTCCTGCGTCTCAGGCGTGTCCGATGTGCTGCCAGGGGTCGGCTGCAATTCCCGGCATACCAGGTCTTCCGGGGTCCTTAGGTCAGCCAGGGTCAAAGGGCGAGCCAGGTCAAAAGGGTGATATTGGACAGAGTGGACCTATGGGTGAGCGTGGAGCAGCTGGGCCTACAGGGGACGAAGGCATAGGACAGCCCGGAAAAATAGGTCCAAGAGGTGTCCCAGGTGTTGTAGGGCCAACGGGGGAAACTGGTGTCAAAGGTCAAAAGGGTGAGCCAGGGGAGACACCAGACGACTCCAACCAGCGGGTAGCATTCACCGTGGTGAGGACGAGCAGCTCGGATACCTCGGCGCGTGACGACACCCGTTTGCCCTTCCAGGAGACCGAGACGCTTCTGCCGGGTACCAGCTTCGATCTCGAGACCGCCACGTTCACGTGTGGTGTGCCGGGCACCTACGTGTTCATGTTTTCTGTGTATAAGTATCCCGGCACCCTGACCGTTCATCTCCGGAAGAACGGCGACGCGGTTGTCGGTGGCGGTAGCAGTTATTCAAGTCACAATGACCAGGTGTCTGGGAGCGCGGTGGTGGTTCTGCAGCGTGGAGATACGATATATCTCACCATGCGCGGTAAGGCGTATAGTAATTCCAATCACTACACCTCGTTCAGTGGCTTCCTCCTTTACCCCGAATAAACAAATCCAACACATAAGATACACGAGCATATCGTGTTGCTGATTTTTTTTAAGCGCTTTCCATTTTGCCGAAACAATAACTAAGGCCGAATAAAAAAAAAACATGTTTCTCGTCCGGGTGTTTGAAAAAAAGGAGGAAGCGGGGCTTTTTATTTTTTATTCGTTTCAAGATGGCCGCCAATTAAAAATTTCCTGCAACTGTTGGTGTTTCCACTTTTCAAAGACACTTTTAAAATGAAAGATATGTTGGACAAGAGAACTGAACATATTTACAGTGTCATTTAGACTTGTATTGATCTACAATTTATTTTCCCATGAATTTGTGGACATTTTCGGTGTTTTTTTACTGCATTTTTCAAAAATAAAAAAATAATAAAAAAAATCCAGGCGGCCTCCAAAAAGGAAACGGGCGGGGACGAGCAACATGGGTTTTTTTTTTACTTCGCCTAATGAATTAACAGCAATAATTTTCCATGCCACAAAACTAAAACAACATTTTTTGCATTGCGCATGCGCATATCTGTAAACAATAGATTAGAGTGCATGTATTTAGCTTTATGTGCGAGTATTGCATGAGATAATAGTGAAATGTGCGCTTTAAGTTTGTTGACAATGATAATGTGTTGTATCCGCCGTAGAGTGACGCATTTTTAATGGAATATTTTTCTTAAAAGCAAGATAGTTATTTTTTTCTTCAAAACAAAACCACGTTTGCAATAAAGCAGTGCCATCGGAATGTTTACAACTAAAACAAAATGTTAACGATAAACGAACCTTCCTGAAATTATTTAGGCCAAATTGCCGACCGCCAACTGTTTATTGCCATATTAGACCAAAAATATAACATAATTTTGTTCCTGAAAATAAGTGCGATTATTTTGTGTTATTGGGTTATTAATTAATAAAATGAATTTGATTAAACAGAATACCTATATATAGGTATCCTAACGTAAACAAATACAGTTTTAAAAGACATACCGACAAACAAACAAAATATTTGCCTACCTACCTACCTGGATAATTTGAGGGCGTACTGTAAACACACACATTTCTTTCTTTGCCTTATGTTCCCTGTATGCCCAGCACAGATGATGTCAATTAAATCAATCCCATGTATGTATCAATTTTTATTTCATGTCACGAAAAAAGTCTCGAGTGATTGAATCAGATTTTCTTATAGACTGAAAGCTTGGCATTTGGATTAACAATTGTTTGAAATAATCTAATGCTATTCACAGCAATTAGAATACACTGGTTTTTATTAAATGATTGCATTCATTTTAAACGTTATAATATGTGAGAATTATGTAAAAGTAACAATTGACTGGCTATGAAAACAGTATGCATAAAACCTCATTCTGAGGATTACCAAAAGCACCACCATTGTTGATAAATACTCTCTTTCTTTCGCTTGGCTTCGTTATGAAAAAAAAACCATGATTTTAATTACTTTCAGTTTAAACAGAAACGTGCCCACAGTAATGAAAAAAGTAGAATTGGCTGTTGTTTTTAAAGCCCGTATAAGTGCGACAAGTGTTTCTTGATTAAAAGACTCCAAATTATTTGAAGACTTTTATTGTTCTTAATCAGTATTACTTGATTGCATTCAAGAAACTCACTTTGAAAACATCAGTGAAAGTGTGAGCCCGTCAGATGGTAAAGAAACGATCTTAACGAAATCAATTAACACAAAGCACAAATTCTATTAAAGTGAGGAGGGTCTTTCAACTGGCAAGAAATGTCCTTTGTCCCTATAAAGCTGCCATCAGATGGTATCACTTTATGGTATTTCATGTGAAATTCTTTGTATTGACTTTTATTTGGATACCATATTTGGTCAGGTGATGCAATTAGTCCCCTGCTATCAGCATATCCTTGGATAATGTCTCCAGCCAGCACATGTACATGTAAGCTGCACAAGTACGCTTCCTGGGAATAGGTAGACTCCTGCAAGGAATCAAAGAAAAGGTTATAATGGACCCTTCCTGCATGTCAATCAACAGTGCACATTGGCCAATCAGATCACCACTTTTGATCAGGTGACCGCAGTAGCTCAGTCAGACTGGGTCACAAGCACTGTTGGATCTATTGCTCACCCCGCCCCATTTTTTTGCACCAGTGGTTAACACCCCCCCAGATTATTTTGTAAAGAGTGCCCTTTTTACACAAGTGACCTTTTAGTTTTTACACAAGTGTCCTTAGTTTTGCTTAAAAAAGTTTCTTGTTTCACCAGCAGCTTTTAAAGAATTTTTAGAATTGTACAACACGCGTGTTATACGTACATGTGTGTGCATGTAATGCAGAGCTTGTGCATACATGTGGTGCAAAAGTTAGCAATTGCTGCATCACATAAAAATAACATGTACAGTGAACATGCACGGTTTTAACATGTTGGTCTGGATTTGACGCAAGCATTACAGACACACTCTCGCAAAATGTGGTACGGGTGCTTTCTTTACAAAAAACCTTTTTTACGTAAACCTTATCAGTCAGCCGATCACGCTCAATTGACTTCGGCCAAACCGCAGTCCCGTCATAAGAAATAAGTTAACAATGTTATCTGGACCATTTTTTTCCGAGAGTGTGTCTGTAAAGGTTGATGGGCTTTTAAAAAGAACTTTTGCAAATGGGAAAGATACTTTGGAAAAATCCAATCAGTTTGAATATGCTTCATGAATTTCTAAATAAACGAGCACATTTTTAACAGTATTTAATTACTATTATTTTTTTGGTGTGGTGGTGGGGGGGGGGGGGGGTGGCTGGCTGGGAGGGGGGGGGGTGCCAGACAGAAGATATATCAGAATGGCGCAATAAGACCGACAGCGGGCGCAATAGTTTTGATTAGGGTTTCAAAAATTTCTACGCGTCTGAGTCGTTAATTTGCATAAAAATTGCCCCCACAATTTTTTGTAAAAAACGAGACCGTCTAGTTTAAAAATCGGTGGAATCGTGCGAATACAGCCGAGGATCATCTCCCTAGCTTTTGGGCTATTATCTAAGATCAGATTTGATAAATTAGGGTCCAAAAATGGGTCCTATTTGCAGTAGGGATGCCACTGGTAACTTTGGCAGTATGCAGGCTCAGCATTACCGGCAGGCTTCAAGCATTACGGACACACTCTCGCAAAATGTGGTCCGGGTGCTTTCTATACAAAAACTTCGTTGGCTCGGGGTTTTGTACGTAAACCTTATCAGTCAGCCGATCACGCTCAATTGACTTCGGCCAAACCGCAGTCCCATCATAAGAAATAAGTTAACAATGTTATCTGGACCATTTTTTCCGAGATTGTGTATATAATGTGAGGGCGCGTTGTGGTACTCTGTGTACAGCGCACATTTAGATACAGAGCGCAACCCAGACTTGGCCAAGTCTAGGGAATTGCCAACACTACAAAAAAATTTGTGATTGACAGTAAGAAATTAAAGCTTTTGCAAAAGTGTAAACAATCAGTTACAGAGGATTACTTCTGTGCTTACAGGGATAGCGCAGATTTTCTGTGCTAGCATGCTGAAAGCCCAGAATGAGGATCATAAGGAGAGAATTGTGTGCTTAAACCATGAAATTGAGTCTATTGAGTAGTAGTGGCTTTGTGTACTTACATGACAATGAGCTGAGCCCCTAAGAATGTTGGAGAAGCAATTCACGGATCTGTATCTGTCTGTTGGTCTGAAAGGAAAAACACAAAGATTCTGGGTGGAAAATGGACTGGTATATTGATGTTTAATATGTTGATTGTCACTTGACAAATAAAATGAACTGAGAGTTGTTCAATTTGCATTGAAAGTGATCGATTCTCATTTTTGAAAAATCACCCACCAGAATGTCCCAGGTTGGACACAATTAACAGATGTTGCAAGACTGGACTTAATATCACAAAAACCAGGGACTAACGTAAAGTGGATACTGGGAAGAGCTTTAAGTGTATTGTCTCCATGCATGGACAAAAGAGGGCGCTTTATAGCCGAACAAGCAGAAGCCTAAATGATGGACAGTACACTGGTTCACTCACGCTGGCTACCGTGTATATAATGTATGGGTACCAGCATTTACAAGCCACGATGGCGCCTAAATGGCCCTCGTTTATAGTTTCCACTGTATGGGGGTGCTTGAGCGCAAGAAGGAGATTCTACCTTCTCTTTGAGCGTAGTGACTCCTTCCTTGCTGATCTTCCAAGAAAACTTCTCCGTGGTCTCTCCTACTTCCTCATCCAGCATCCAGGGTTTACAACTCCTTGAACCGTCGCAAACTCTCCCCGCCGGGAAGGGGGGAGGCAAGGTGCCCCCTGCCCCCCTCCCCTCCTCTCTCTGGATACGCCACTGCTGCATGGTGAAGTATTGAATTTTATGTTTTTCACGTTGAGACAAACGAAAAGTGTCGCTGAGATTTGGAACAGCAATGAAACGCTTAATATGGCCTGATAATGTGGCCAGGTGTGCTTCAATGTGACCGTGCAGTTTTCTAAAACACCGCGCAGGCCATAAAATCCCCTCAAACCTCGTTTGCTGAGGGCCTGATGTGGCGGTACTTGTGGAGCCGTTGACGGTTCAATTTCAACGATACACACTGAAAACACAGCACAACTTTAAACTGGCTTTTTTCAAATACTGGCCCCAATTGACCATCGCACTTGTTTGCAATCGATTACACACCTATGAACGGGTACAAGCCAGCTAGACTGGTTCCCTGACCTTACAATTCTCCAATGTATGTAAACTGCTCTGTTTCTTCTTATATGGAGTCAGGGAACCAGACTACAAGAAAATGATTGTTTTTCTCGGTTTTTATAGCATTTTCGAACCCAAAACCTCAAAAAAGTCAGTGTAACTATATTTGCTATATATTTCCAACCCCCCAATTCCATCCATTTCTGAAAACTACAGCAAAAGCAAATGATGTATATTCCCTTTAATAAAGCAAGCACATTTGTCAGAATGATATCAGCAATAACTTTTTTTAAAAAGAGCCCAACCCAAAGTTTACATCGTAGGAAAGACAAGGTTAATAAGCCTTTTCGGAGTTCCAACTGCGCGCATTCGTAACCTGTGACAACGCACGTTGTTTATCTCAAATGCCCTTTGACAGTACCCACAATGCACAAACAGCTTTTCTGTAAAGTCAGTGGCGCGATGATGTCAAAGGCCATTTGAGACAAACAATGCGCGTTGTCACAGGTTATGAATGCGCAGTTGGAACTCCGAAAAGGCTTATTCTGATGATTAAATCTTATTGTCTATTAATCTATTTACCGAGAAAATACCGGCTGAATTTTTAAAATGATATACATGTAGACAAAATGATACTTACACCAATATAGCCAGGGGCAACACGAGTTGCATAGCCCGGACCGATTCGGCTAAGCGTTTTACTTGTACAATAAACGTCTGGAATCTAGACCGCCCTTGAAAAAGAAAGAAAGAAAAATCAATCTCGGGCTTTCGCCTAAATAGAAAATAATCAACCCGTTTTAAAATAGGAGAGTTATGCCTTGGGTACCAATAATTTTAAGGCTGTTTTGATGAGTAACGTAAATCACTGCTTTTTATATTATAAAATTACCCATTTCAGTCAAAAACTGACAGGAAACGCGTCGGAAGGATTTATTGTATTATAATCTTTTTTTCAGCTGCAAAAGCGATGACGGCGGCAGTCTTACTGACAAGAAACCAGCTTCGAGACTTGACTTGACTTGGGAAACCATCTCAAGAAGCAGGGATATTGGCTGTGGGCTTTCAGGCTCCGCATTGCTGAGGATCAACTGTTGTACCTCATTACGATGGTCAACACGTTGTTTTTTCCTCAAGTCAGAAAGGGTCATCTCATCGTCAGAATCATCACTGATTCCTAAAAAGAAAAACGAGAAAATAAAAGATACGTCAGAACAAACTAGTTTGATTCATATGTTTGGAGTGAGCGCCATACTGCAATTAATTGCTACATTTTTTTTGCATTTTCGCGCCGATAAATACATGTACATGTACACACATGTGTACAGTGCTAATTTTCAAATAACACTCAAGATTCCTTTTTAAAACTGTTTGCACGGATGATGAACATGTATTTTATGAATGGAATTGAATTCCAAATGTTTATCTCTCTCGGGAGTCAACTTGTAATTGTTTGTAAATATCTGGAGATTTAAAATATAAATACAAATGACTCACCAACGTGATCCCTGCTGTAGCGAGTTGGAGAACAACTACGAAATTCGGTATCCATCTTGTTGAAAATAGCAGGAAAGTATATAGGCATGCAGCAGAGGTGAGAACACGTACTATAATAAGTATGATGTCAAGAGATTCGGTTGTCAGGTACTGCGGTTCAAGATTCGCTTCGGCAAGCACAGCCTATAGGGTAAAACCAATTATGCGTGAACTTTCAGGTTGGATGCCAGGGACGCTATCTCATTTCAGATTCAGTCATTCAACAAGATGGAGTCCAATTTCAGCAGTCCTGTGCGTAAAACCGCGATACCAATTCTAAGTCCGCTTAAGTTCACGAATTTGTCTCCCGTTGGCAAGATTCCAAATCTCTCACCTATCGGATCAAGAAAGAGGGTCCTAGATGGACCGTTTAGTGAACCACGGGGTACCTTGCCCAAGAAAAGAGGAGTCCGGGCATTGCACGAGAGGTTTCCAGACCTTGTGCCAACTGTTGTCGAGACGCTGGCAGACCACGGTTTCGCAGCTCACCGAAGGCGATCGCAGACCTGCTCTTCAGTTGGAGTTTCGGCTCTTCAGCTGAGAGATGAAGTGATGAGGAAAGTCCCAGGACTTCAGGAACGGCCCAATTCAATCTCTGTAAGCACCCTGTCACGTCTGTTTGTACCTCCACACAGCAACCACCATTCCAAATCCTACTATCATTCTCTAATCGATGCAAAAGTTGGCGTGAAAAAGAACGACATTTCTCATCATCATGAGAATTCCCATATCTGCCGTTCTGCGGTTAACTATGCACTTGAGATGGCCATATGCTTTGATGGAGAGATTTCTCGCTGGTCAGTTGATGACAAGAATAAGTTGTTAGTTGGAAGTGGCCCGTGTGTGGACAGAAGAACGTCTTTCCGCACCTATTTCCACACTGATGATATGATCCACTACCCTGACCACAATTTCGCTACCGGATATAAAATCATCCCAAGTGGGTACATTCAGCTCCTTAACCGACCGTCGTCCAACTCAAGGCACCACCATGACAGGTTCGGCCGTTTACACTTCAATTATCCAAGAACTGGTAAACTCACCGTTTGCTTGAGGGGCAACAAATTTTTCAAGGCGTCTGTGTACAACCACTATACAGATTTGTTTCCGTTGATTCGTGAAGTCCGTGACAAAGAAGGCAAGCATGCTGCGGTGATAGTCTCTGACAACGGCCCTGACTGGAAGAAGAACAGCCTTAAAGTAGTCATGACAATGGGCCGTTTATGGCGGGATCTGCACCTAGACTATTTTTGCATTCTTGGATATGCGCCCGGTGATAGTCGATACAATATGATCGAACATTGTTGGGCACCAGTGACCACTTGGTTGACAGGTCTGCAGTTGTCGGACACCATTCCTGGGGAGGACAAGAATCCTGAAGCCCAATCCAAATTGTCAGAGGAGGACCGCGCCAGAAAGAATGCAACTGTTTTGGACAATGCAATCAGAGATGTCCACAAGTGTCTTGATGGCAAGATGTATGATTCATTCAAAGTTACGGCAGTGGCAATGGATTCTTCATCAACGCATCACTATTCAGATGAGGCCAAGGTGGAAGAATTGTCTGACGCCAGTGTGAAAAAGATCAAGGCAGACATTGTCCTGACAGAACTTGCGGCAGAATATAAGTTTCTTGCCTCGCATTCGGTGCAGCGGACCTACCAGTTGGAATTCGTCAAATGTCAAGATAGTCAGTGCCACCACTGTAGCAACCATCCTGTGCGCGCCAAAAAACTTCTCACCTTCCTTCGTGAATTTGGAGGTGGGCATGGTTTTACGCCTGTTCCATCAGACAAGGTCCCTGGACATTTCTTCACGTGGCAAGAAATGGCTTCAAAGGCTGTGACAGGAAAACTCAAGATTCCAGCTCTAGATGAAGGAGTACACTCACCAATCAACGGAGAGAGGGTTTGCCAGGCGGGATGCAAGAAAGTCTTTGTGAGCGCAGCAGATCGAGATCGCCATAATCGTCTCATGCACAAACTTTGAGAAAGTCACCAGCATCGAAAACAAAAACCAAACGGTTCTTTTCAGAACCACACATTTTCACAAAAGAGATAGATCCAGCATCTGAATCTGATCGATGATTGAATAAATAAAACAATTCATGCCCTCTCCCTTCATTCCCATTCATTCCCACCCTTCAACCCTTCCATTTTTTCCCTTTCCCTTGCGTCAAGTGTGTGGTTACTTTTAATATAATATATAATTTTATAATTTTATAATTTTATTAAAGGGAGGCTGAAGGTTTCAAAACTTAAGGTATAAAGGCCAAACATCAAAAAATAACTACTGTTTATTTGGGAATGGGAATCAATGAAGAAATATACTCAAACAAATAATTTAATCAAGAAATGCGCTCAAATACATGTATATTTTCCATAGAGGAACAACTGAAGTATTGTTGGTAATCAGAGCAGGCGAAACGTACATGTACTTGCCTGAACCCGGCATTAGGAATCAACTGTACACGCTCTTAAAACATTCTAATACATGCAAGAAAGCGTTGCTGCTGACTTTCATATCAAACTTAAATGTTTATGATTATATTGAGCATTATTTTAAGTAATCCCGTTGCTAAACATCCCTATGCTGCATGTGGTGTACGACGCTAGCTGAAATGGATTTCATCACTGCTCCCTTCTCGTTGTGAATGTGAAATTGAAGGGTCCAAGCCGATTACCAGTCACCAGTCCGTTTCGCTTTATGTGAAGGTTATACGTACGTACGCGTTTGAAGTCTGAATAACCAACACAAATTAAATGTAAGCATCTAGAAAGCGTAATTTTTCAGACTACATTTCACAAGTTGGCCATCTTTTTCATGTGTTTCTTATAAGACAAGGACGAGTATCGGAGTATGTGTATGTATAAGCCTTTTGAAGAAATGCAGATGCAGGCAAAAAGTTGGAAAACACATTCGAGGGTTTCTTGACTTCTGAAGCCCTGCAAAAGAAAAAAAATCAAAATCTCTCATGAAATCCCGAACTGAATTAAAACGTAAATTAATAAATCCGGCCAATACTTAACGTTAATGACTGAAAACTAAAAGCAAAAACCTTTAAGTCTTACTTTCCACTCCATAGTTTATTACGCCCAGCGGGCCGAATAATCCTCCAACAATGGCCAGACTTCAATTTATGTTGCCTATTGTGAAACCCTGAGTCACCAGTTTGGACCGATTGGGGCGTCACGCTTCAGTAACCGGGTGGCTTCTGGCTTCGTACCGATTGGGGTGAAAGAAATTTGCATACCGGACCCGGTACCCGAACGGTCTGTTATCTGAGGGCTCGCCTTATCAATGTTGATACAAGACATTCACAACTTACAAGTGTTTTTAATGCAATCTTTAAAAATGCACCTTCGTGTCCAATTTAAACCTATTTTCAATTTTTTGTTTTGCCATTTTCAAGGGTATTTTTGGTTAATTTTTGTTTATGCTGTTGTGAATTTTCATATTCATGAACAAAAATGTGATGTCATTACAAGCACTAAACCACAATGTCACAGCTACGTCAGCACCAAATGTTGCCAGAATTTGGGATATTTAATCGCTTTCATCTTTTTTTCTTTTCTTTGGTGATTTGTTAATGTGTCAGTACATGGCAGTAAGCCAATGAGCAAACTTTCTCACAAATGTTTTTCATGAACAAAGCTTTGGGTTCAAAACTGAAAAGTGTCTTCCTAATATGACATCACAGCAACATTGCCCTCAGTTGTCTGGAAAAGCATGGACAATGTTAAAGAAGTGCACTTTATAATAAAATTAACCAAAAAGGGATCTCAAATAATTTTCATATATTTAAGAGGAGTGGAAAGTTGCACAAAATATGTTTCTTAGAACAATTCACTTCATGGAACCTTTAGTATTTAAAAGTATTGCCGCACGATACTGAACAAAAAAAGTCGGACAACAGCATTTTCAAACTAATGGGCGGAGGTGATTCAACAGCTGTTTCATGAACGAACAAAATCATACACAAACAGCCGTTGTAAATACTGTTATTATTATCCTCGTCCAAGATGTTTAGGTTTAAACTGTTGCGCAGCTCTGCAAAGTTTTGTGAATCGTTTTGTTAAGTTTATTGTGCAGCTGTGCCATGGTGTACGTCCTACGCATGGCATAAGTTACGCACTGTTTCGTGAAATGGACTGCTGGTCCTTCCTTACTCCCTGTTTGTAGCCAAGCGAGGGGGCACTTCCGCACAGAGTCCATAGCAACAGTGTCTCAAGTCTGGAGAGTTTAAAGTTCAAAATGTCAACAAGTCAGTGGACCAGTTATTTTCCTAATTTCAAGTGCAAATTAAAGAGATCACTCACTATATAATGCATCACTGTTCAGCCAAATGACAGCAAGCATACTACACAAGTGAACGACTTCTCCAAATTCTGCAGTTTCTTCAGCGCATTCCTGCGCCTGAGGTCTGCCGAGTCCCGGTCTGCACTCTCCTGCACCGATCTCCCAAGGGTGAAGTTATCACAGCCGTACTCCCCGCCACCCCCCAAAAAAAACCCACAAGGGGCGTGTCGGGAAAGACCTCGTGAAAGGCTCCGCTTTCCACATCCTCGGCCTGGTAGAAATGGCGCCCTCGCCCAACGCAGCTGAACAAGAAAGCCAGGCTGTGTTTCCCTGGCAATCCCAACTCTTTGAGTGCCTGGAATTTCGAGCGAGCTTCATCCCTGGTGGTGACGCTGTTGTCAAGAACCACAGATGCTGCCCTCACGTTGGGTCCAGAGAACGTCACTGTCAGACAACTGGGCAGTTTCTTGGAGTTTGTTCCCCTGCAAAGAATGCAATTTGACATTATTTAATCCAGCAATACCCATGATGATACTAACCATGGTCAACTACCGTATATCTGGAATCTGCAAAGTATGTCTCTCCAGAAACATGTTCTAAGTGAGACATGTCCAAGTCTGCATGTTTGACGTTGTTTTTGCTTTCTTTTCTGGTCCCAGAGAGCCAGCTTATAGTCCTCTTTTTGTAACTCACTGGCTGACTGTCACTTATGAGCCGGGCAGTGCTATTGTTTAGGATTACCCCGTAACCCCAATGACTTTCCAAAATCTGGCCCATTGTGCAGATTGATGTATGAAAAGACTTCTAGTATAAAATAGCCATTCGAATCAACCTCTTGAAAATTGGACGAAAAACTTTCTGACTATGGACAGATTCAGTTGTTTGGAATGACTCCAGAGGCTAGTCATTTTAATGCATGTTGTCATTTGAAACCAAGATCCATTTGGGGGTCAATGATAAACTATGCCTGAGTAAGTATATTAAAATATTATGTTGCATTTGAATTGTAGTTTTTTACTCCTCAGTTCTTTTCACTTCAATTTTTAATCAGTTTATTCTTGATTTGCATATCACTGATTGCTTTTCCTATCTGATCAAAATTTATGGCGTTGTAAAAGGTTAGAAACAGCGCAAGAGTGCAACAGCTTTTAAAATGATTGAGGATTCTATGTTTTTTAATAACAGGATCATTGTACTTATACAAATCTGTAAACAAGTCACAGTACTGAATGGCAATATTTAATAGATGTATTTCTTTGAAACACTCCATTTGTAATAGATACATTGAATGTTTAAAAACAATACCTTTAAAGTGGAAATCCACCTGTGACCTTCAGGCTATTGTACAAGTGAAGAGCTCATTTGCAAAAACAGTTATATGATCCATTTTTTTTCACCTTTTGAGAAAATGTGCTTTAAAACAACACAGAGAACATTACTTGTGCACAAAATGTGGACTGCCCATTACATCATATCGAACTCTTGTCTATTTGTATTTGAAAAGTAATTTTAGGTGTTCAGGGAAAATATTATGTTTTCTTCTCTAATTTTGTAAAATTGGCTCTTATCAGCTTTTGCAAATGTATTCTTCAAATGCTTTGCCTACTCGACTTACACATGAAAAACTATCAAGAAAACACATTGCAGTGATTTGAAATTGCGTCTAATAATATTTCTGGATATAGGACTCAACAATTCGAAAATCGACGGGACCATTAAAGAATAAATTTAATATGATTTCAAGAAAAACAGTGTACTTATCGCGAAAAATTCAACTCGAATTCGAGCCACTTTGAGTGGGACAAAAATAAAGCACTCTTTGTGGCGACGATAACTCAAGAACAACGCAGTGCACTGAATTGAAATTTCGTTCAATAATTGTTCGGGATATAGGACACAAATTGTTTGAAAATCGACGGGAACCATTGAAGAATAAATATAATATGATTTAATGAAATACAGTGTACTAATCGCGAAAAATTCAATTCGAATTCAAGTCTTTTTCAGTGGAACAAAAAATAGCACTCTTTGTGGAGACGATAACTCAAGAACAACGCAGTGCACTGAATTGAAATTTCGTTCAATAATTGTTCGGGATATAGGACACAAATGGTTTGAAAATCGACGGGAACCATTGAAGAATAAATATAATATGATTTAATGAAATACAGTGTACTAATCGCGAAAAATTCAATTCGAATTCGAGTCACTTTTATTGGAACAAAAAATAGCACTCTTTGTGGAGACGATAACTCAAGAACAACGCAGTGCACTGAATTGAAATTTCGTTTAATAATTGTTCGGGATATAGGACACAAATTGCTTGAAAATCGACGGGAACCATTGAAGAATAAATATAATATGATTTAATGAAATACAGTGTACTAATCGCGACAAATTCAATTCGAATTCGAGTCACTTTTATTGGAACAAAAAACAACACTCATTGTGGAGACGATAACTCAAGAACAACGCAGTGCACTGAATTGAAATTTCGTCAATATTTGTTGGGGGTATAGGACACAAATGGTTTGAAAATCGACGGGAACCATCAAAGAATACAGTTAATATGATTTAAAGAAATAAGCATACTAATCGCGAAAAATTCGATTCCAATTCGAGTCACTTTTGACAAAAATAAAGCACTCTTTGAGGAGACCAGGAGACGATAACTCAAGAAAAAAACACATTGCACTGATTTGAAATTGCGTCCTATCGTTGACTGTGATATACGACACTGAAATTCGACATAAATCGTTGAAAAAAAAAAGAACAAAACAAAAACTACAGTATAAGGAGGGCTCTCCTGTACATTTTACAAACATCAATATCTTCCAAAAGAGGGCGCGCTACAAAAATACTGGTCACCACCATAAAGAC